AGCAGAATAGCGAAAAACTACGACAGAGGGCGCCCATAAATCACGCAAGTGACTACTTTAGTAACTTCCGGTAGTGCAGAGAGAGCCGATGGTGACTACCGCCTAGGACATTGCCTTGTAAAAGTAATCGATGGAATACACTGCAAGTAGTCGGTCGGTAATTAACGGTGTTTATTAGGTAGCTACCGATTCAGCAGTCCTGTAGTCACTCCCCCGTACTGCAGGGTTTGTGGATACATATTTACATGTATATACGTATGCATATATATTTGTATGTGTATACGAAAAATAGTATATGTGTTTATAAAGGTAAATGCTATTAATTCAGATTTTATAAAAGTATTTGCTTAAGTTTAATATTTTGAAGGGTCGTATTTTTCGACAGGTTTGATTTTCCGTCCGTAGCGGGAGACCTTAGTCTGCCGGTCTGCATTTTCGCCGGAGTACTGAGTTTGGATGCCGCTGCTCTGGCTTGTTCACTAGGTGCAATTTCCTGGTACTCATTGGATACAGGTACGTGAGCGTTATTGGATTCACATTCCAGCGTTGGTGAGTTTTCCGAAGGTATATTCGCTTTTGTTGTATGGAGATATTTGCTGTTTCTGCGATATTTTCTGCCTTCGGGAGTTTCCACTATGACTGAGCGTGGACTTTCTGTCATCTCGACGACTTTGGCTGGTTTCCATTCGCGATGACCTGTCTGCATTCTGACGTTGTCGCCTGTTTTAAGCGGTGGGCGAGGAGTTGCGACCTGATCGGCACAGCGTTTTTGATTATCACGCAGTTCCTGCAGTTCTTTGGCGACACCAAACACGACTTTGGGCATTAAGTTTATCTTTTCAATAGGCAGAATGGTCCGGGTTTGCCGACTGAATAATCGTTGACTGGGAGATTTTAGTACTTTGTTTCGCGGCGTATTACGCAGCAGCAACATCGCCAAATATGGATCGCTTCCATCGTGCCAACACTTCTTTAAAATACCTTTAACAGTTTGAACGTTGCGCTCCGCGAATCCATTGGATTGAGGGTAATGTAGTGAAGAAATTCTGTGCTTGAATTTCCAGTTTGTTGCGAACTCTCTGAAGGCTTGGCTGCTGTATTGTGGGCCTCCATCGGACTCAAGTATCTCGGGAATTCCATGTACGGAGAACCACTGACGTAATAAATATATTAATTCCGATGATGTACTTGACTTGAGTTTTCGGATGTCGTTAAATCCGGAGTAGTGATCGGCGATCAGTAGAAAGTCGTCACCTTTAAATTTGAAAATATCTGTCGACTCTAATTGAAAGGGATATTCGGGTATGTCTCGCAATTTCAAAGGTTCTTTAGGGTTTGCTCGTTGTGTTTGTTGACATACTGCACACTTTTCAACGAAGTCTTTGGTGTCGGTCGTAAGACCATTCCAAAAAAATTATTGGCGGATACGATGCATAGTCGTTGAGATTCCGCTATGGCCCCTATGCGCTTCTGCCATGACAGATTTTATTAAATTATGCGGTAGAATAATTTTGTTACCCTTTAACAACAACTCGTCTTCGCACGTAATTTCGTGCCTAATAGCCGAGTATTTTCTAATGGTCTTTGGCACCTCAACTTCGTTACCTGGCCATTTTCTCATGATGGCTGCTTTGAGTGCTTGTAGTTCGCCGTCGGCTGCAGTTTCTTTAATTAGCCTTTTGCGCATTGTGTCTCCAATTGCATGGATTAAGTAAACTGGCTCGTCTTCATCCATTTCTATCGGCTCGCAGTCACGGCTCAAAGTATCTGCAATTGGTATCATCGATCCTTTTGTGTACGTAATTTTCGGTGAATATTGTAGAATGTCGTACAGCACACCCTGCAATCGTATTGGTGCATTTTGAATCGGATTGCTGAAAATCGTTTGCAGGGGCTTATGGTCCGTTTCAATTTCTAGCTGTTTCCCGTAAACGTAATCGTGAAACTTTTGACATCCAAAACGGATAGCCCAGGCTTCCTTGCTTATTTGCGGTTGTTTTTGCTGCGATTTAGTTAATGCTCTAGTGGCGTACCCTAATGGTCTGCCGTCTTGCATCAGGCATGCCCCCATAGATTGACTGCTGGCGTCAACCGATAGTTTCACTGGTTTCTTTACGTCGTAATAAGCTAGTACGGGAGTTTTTGTCAGTGTTCGTTTTATAGCTTCGAATGCGCTGGTATGCTCGTGTTCCCATCTCCACACGTTTTCTTTACATAAAAGTGGGCGTAATGGCTCTGTCAATCTCGATAAATTTTTTATAAATTTGCCG